AGTTACCTGATCAAATGCCAGTCTAGATGATGCTGTGGAGGTGATGTCTATGTGTGATTAATATTTGGAGTGGGTTCCTTTCAAGCAAAGTGATTACCCTCCATAAAGGGGCAGGGCCTCACCTTTAGAGCCTTCAGAACAAAGGCGAAGGCTTCCTGAAAGAGATTTTATCTGCAGGCAGCAATATAGAAATCTTGTCTGAGTTTCCAGCCTTCAAACTCAAGACTGCAAAATCAGCTCTTCCCTAATTCTGCCTGTGCTGCTCGCCTAACAGATTTTGCATTTGCCAGATCCTATAGTGAAGCGAGTTAATTCCTTAAAATTCTCTCCTGCCTCTCCCTTCCCTCTGTATGTGTGTAAGGATATTAGGTGTACGTGTATATAATGATATTATATATAATATATATCTATATAATATAGATATATAATGATATCTGAGCTAGTGAGATGTTTGGAAACTGGAATGCTCCTTTTTAAGGCTTCCTGAAGTCTATCAGGCTCCCAAAGCCACAGTGTCTCTTACTGGTGCTTATGTTTGATGGAAGCTTGCTTTGGCTAGTTCCTAAAGAACAGTACCTAGTAAAGAAGTTCAATGTGGCTAAAAAATGTGACCTCAACCCCCAAAGCAAGGTGCCCTTGCCTGACCGCCACCTTCCTGGGCTGTGGCTGCAAGGGAAGCTGCTCAGTCTGCATCTCTACATTGCTTCTGGTTCTGTTCTTTTAAACTCCTGGCTGATGTGATGGACAGCCCCAGTGAAACTATGTCCATGTTACTTCTTGCAACACAGTTATCTCTGAATAATCTTGTAGTAGCAGTTTACTTGCTTATCTCTCCTCTCTCTCTCTCTCTCTCTCTCTCTCTCCATCCATCCATCCATCTACCCACCCACCCACCCATCCATCCATCCATGCATCCACTCATCCATCCATCCATCATCCATCCATCCACCCACCCATCCATCCATCCACTCATCCATCCATTCATCCATCTGTCCATCCATCCAGTGAGCCAGCTAACAAATACCCAACACTTCCCGTCTATCAGCTCTTGTTCTGATGTTAAGGGACACTACAGATAAATCATTTAGAAGGTCTGTAGTCTAGAGACAGCTTACCCTTGAAGACCAGAGGATGCCATTCTAACTTCCTTTCTCCAGGTAGTGTCAGCCTAGCAGACCATATACCTTTGTTCATTGTTGCTTCTTTCCCTGATTTGCAGCACTGTGGCTGGTCACTATTGCCATCCTTAGCTATATGCCTTCCTATACCATCCTGAACCCTCAAGTCCCTGAATTCCTTGGAGCACTCCTACTGGGGATTTCAGCCACGTCCCTCTCCCACTCCCTTCTGGAATCATGTCTGCCAATGGGAACTGATATTGAATTATCTTCCCTGAGCCTTAGACTGTCTGATCATGACCTTACTTCTCTAACTAGCTGAGGACTCCTTATACTCTGTCCTTCTAAAGACTAATTCCAGTCTGGAATCCCACACAAAGCCCAGGAATAGGAGCATCTAAGTGGACACATCTGTGGTCTCTAGAATTTCAGCTTCACTGCTGGACCTTAGTGTTCCCACTGGCTCTGGAACCTGGATTCCTGCTGTTCTTATACCACTGTGATCCACCTATAGCAGTGAGTAGTGGCCTAAATCAGGCTTCCTGGTCTTTAGTGTCCTCCAGGTTGTGATTTCATGTCCACTTCATGGAAAAGAGATTGAGATTAAGATGAAAACCAGAATTAAAATAGTGGCCTGAGTGCCATAAAGAGGCTGTGTGTTAACCTACAGGCTGGGACTCAGGTTCAGCAACCCTTCCTGGTAGAAGGAAGTATCATGCAAGATCTGAGTGGTCCAAAGAGGCCAGCTGGGTACTGGAGTGTGGGGAAGGTTCTTTTGAGTAGAGTGAGCAACAGATATGGCAGCCCAGTTGTAAGGCATTTTAGATGTGCTCGGAAATCTGGCATCACTTCAGAAATACTGTGGAGAAGGGAGAAATGGTTCTGGAAGTCCAGAGAAATAAGCTGGGTCTGCTTCTCATCCTGAAGTAGATGCATTCCTACAAAGAAAGGCACCTCAACTCACAATGATTTCCTTAACAAAGCGAATCTTCTCTGCTGGTGGTTGGTTCTGCCTACTTCCTGGGCAGAGCAGGTAGATAGGAAGTTTGGACACACTTCAAACCCATCTTCTCTTTTCTGCTCCCTCACATGGTGATTCAGCTCCTGAAAATCTGCATTACAAACTCTTCTGGATATTTGGACTTTGCCTTTTCAGACTCATATGTGTGAGGAACAAAGGCTGCAACACACCTATGCAAAACGTGGTCACAGCGTGGGGATGTGAGGAGTGGTGGGTGATTTTATTCTTGGCTTTACTTTCTGTGTTTTTTTTTTTTTCGTACTGCTAACTTTAAAGTTGTATGCAAAAGGAACTATATGTGAATTATATGCAAAAATGCTCCCTAGAACAGAGATCCCTAGGTCTTATTTCCAGGTCAGAGCACTAGAAACTTCTCCAGGTGAAATTAGTCTTGGTCTATAATATATCAGCAGGGGCTGCATCAGGGATTGATAAAGCCATGTGCCAGGGCCCCAAGAATACAGATGATTTCTCTCCTGATGGTGAAGAGTGTCTTCCTGTATCAGCCTAATGAATTTGCTCTTTGTGCATTTACAGCACCCACTGGGGTGTCTTTTTGCTATTTCAGAAAACGGAAAGAAATTCAACAACATTGGCTCATGTGGCTGCTGAATTCCCGGCTGGCTGAGGGCCCCAGAAAGCTGTGCACCCCGCACATAATATCCTTTGTTTGTAAGCATCTGCATCCTTCCTCCAAGCAGGCTGTCAGTGAGGCAATCATGTCCCCGTCTTGTGCAGCCCAGGAACTAAAGCACAATTTGGCCTCTTTGTCATTTTCAAAAATCAAATCTGCCTAGGGACCAAGTTCCAGCAGCAGCTGTTTCTGCTTTATGTTTTATTTAAAGACATTTAATTTTGAGCCTTGTATGCTTCCAATGATTTTTTTTCTTGGTAGAGCAGACTGTGCACACATATAAAATACCCTCAATTTATACACAGCAGTTCTTTCATTGGCCATCAAGCTGTTTTCTAAGGATAAAGTCAGATGAATTAAAATGACCTATAATTCATTATTTTAATAAATTTAACAAAAATCCTAGTGCTAAATTCTGTATCGCAGAATCTTACTGTAGGTAAGCTTTGTGCATAGTGGTTTACATATATATGGATATATATTTTTTAATCCAGCTTTACCAGAGTCTTATAAAGTACACAGAGACACTAGTCCATTAGGGGGAAGTGACTTACCCCCATTCCCATGACCAGGGAATAGGGAAGATGAGATTTTAATCCAGGAATGTTTGACACATACATGTCACATGGGCAATGCTACACACACAATGGTCCCTGAGTTATGATAGTTCAATTTAGGATGATCAGTCATTCATTCTGGTCAAATGCACTTTTTGTTAATTTGAAGATTAACTAGCATGAGCTATTTAAACCCTTGCTCCCCCACTTTCAATATTATATACACAGGTGATGTCCAACTTAGGATGCTTCAACTCAGTGATGATAGAAAAGTGATACATATTCAATGGAAACTGTACTTTGAATTTTCCCAAGTTAATGTTACAGAAAAACCATTTTGTTTTTCATTTTCAGCATGTTATTCAATAAATTGAAAACATGAGCTCTTCAGTCCTCTATTATGAAGCAGACTTGGCTTCAGATGGTTTTGCTCTGCTATTGGCCAATGTAAGTGTTATGAGAACATTTAAGGCAGCCTGGGATGAAACATAAGGTTCAGAAGGTGAGTATATTAAATACATATTTGACTTGGGATGTTTTCAATTTATAATGGTTTTATAAGGGCAGAGCCTCCTTTCATTATATATATATATATATATATATATATATATATATATATATATGTATGTATAATTCAAATTTTTGACTCTCGTCTCTCTAGCTCCCTCTTTTCTCCTTTACTTTTTGTACATCTTGCCTTTTCTGTTTTTCTGTTTCTTATCTTTTCTTTTTTGTTTTTCTAATTATTAGGGCTTTGCAAACTTCAGTGTACTTCTACTGTGAAAAACACATGACGGTTATGGCTTAAATTTTAAAAAATAATTCAGCATAGAAAACAAACCAATAACAATACTACTTCACTTCATAGAGGACACAAACATGTAAAATAACAAAACTTGTTACCACTCCAGGAATAATGATTCCAGATAAATAGTTTGACACACTTTTCATATACATTTTCTGATAAATAATCATAACATAAAATCAAAAAATTATAGGTTCTGACATTAGAAGTGCTCAGGTTCATATCTCATCTCTATCATCTATTTTTTAAAATTTATTTTATTTTAAAAAGCAAAGCAAAACAAAAGGATAGAAATGATACAAAATTTAAGAAACAGGAAATTAACACTAGTTAATATGTATGTATTGTTATCTTAGATGTAGTTGCTCAGGTTACAAAATCAAGGCATGAAAAAAATGATCAAGGAATCAAAAAATGAAAGCAAGAACTATTCTTTTTGATGAATAATGCCCATCAGCTGCAGGATGGATAAAAACGATGCGGGATGGATGAAAAAATACAATGGAGTATTACTCAGCTATAAGTATTTTTTATACAATGGAGTATTACTTAGCTATAAAGAAGGATAAACTTGAGGCCTCTATTGGTAAATGGAGGCAACGTGAGACCATAACCATGCACAAGGTATTTCACTCACATGTGTAAATATTGTATTGTCTCCCTAGTATAAAAAAAACAAAAAAAGATTAGTAAGATCCAAAATGTATAATGTGTATTGTAATATTGAAAGGGGAAGAAAGTGGTCAGAAGGAAAGAACAACTGGGATAGGGGAAGGGAGAGAAGGAAGAAACAAAAAGATTGTATGTAAATAAGTGCACATATATGTGTGTGTATATATATATATATATATTTATATATAGATAGATAGATAACTATACTATGCATCCCTGTTAGTTCTTTCTCTTTTGTTTTCTTTTTTGAAAGAGGTTCTTGCTATGTAGTGCAGGCTGACCTTAAACTAGTTTTTGTAGTCCAGGCGGGTCTTGAACTCAGGGTGATCCTCCTGTCCCAGTCTCCTGAGCGCTGCCGGGGTTACAGGAGTGCGCCTCTGCACTCACCATTTCCCTCCCTCTGATGGCTAGCACCTCCCTCTGCCATTCATGAAATGTGATCTGGGAGGATTGTCTGGGATTGTCAAGCATTTCTCTTAAATCTCACAACTCACATAAGCCAGATACGCGCTGAGGTCCTGGTCCTGATGCTCCCGGAGGACTCAGCTTTGTGTGTTTCTCCTCCTCTTTCCTGGCCACATATCTTTGGTCAAACGTTTCAGATTCTCAGATCTTCTGCTTCTGCATCTTGATGCTGATGAGCAGTGGTGATCTGGGCCCTGAATGATTTTGGGGAGAATTAAAATTAAACACAAAGGTCAGCATAGAGACACTTTATGGTGTCCTATGAAGCACTCTGCCACATTTCCAAGGCTTCAGGTCCTCTGCAGAGGGTTCATCTCAGAGCTGCCAGAAGGGTAAGGAAAACCTCACGGGTGAGCAGAAGCTAGAAAAGTCATCTGTGCTCGGCAAAGCCCCAGAAACAGGCAGAAGGATCAGCTCTGTGCCACCCCAATTCTATAGTTCTCTGGTCTGTTTCTACTAAGCATCTCTATCCTGGCTTTGGCTGTCCTAGAGTCTTCCCCCCATACCTTTTGCTATCTTACATCTGCCCACTTAGATGCGCTGAATGAGTTTGACACTCAGTGTGTCAATGGAGAGATTCAGGTTGTGACCTCGCTCATGTGCTAGTGAGTGTCTAATACCTGCCTCCTCATGGGAACTCATGTGAGGGTGGTGGAAGTCCTGATAGTTCCTCAACTTTTGCCAATTATCTTACTGCAGAAACCCCCAACATGGTGGATTTCAATCTACCCATTACCTGGCTCCTCAGACTCTGAAAATCAACCAATTGGATTCTGTGAGCCAATGCAAGCCAGTGACAGCACATGACTATCATCCTTTCTGCCACCTCCCAGTGTCTGGTCTGTCCAAGAATTAGTTCTTTGGACTGAGTTTCCACCTTGGTCCAGTTAGCTGTGGCCGAGATACGATGATCTAACACATCCCAGTGAATCCAAGTAGGCAGAAGGAACTGCCAATTACTAATGTGCTCTTCAATGAAGATTTGTTCGGCTCTCCTTCTGTGGATGTCTCTGACACTATAATGAATGAAAGGGAAATATACACAATGACAATAACTTGGTACACATTATGAAGTGACTGATGCCACAAGAGAGACACAGGAGATGTCACTTCCAACAGGGAGCTGACGGGAAGACTGTCTAGTACCTAAAATTTGAATTGAGCTTTTGTGGAAGACAGGATTAAATGATGGAGGGATAGAGGAAAATTTTTTCAAGACAGAGAACAGAAGTAAGAATGAAAACCTGCACTGGAGAAACTGTGGCATAGGCATGGAATTGGTGAGTTTTCGTGCAGAAAATGATGAGGAGAGAAGTGTGATTGTTTACCAAGGAAAATTGTAAGGGCCTTTGCATGTCAGAATGAGGTGCCAAATATGTCACGCTGCTATTCTTTGGTGGCTTACCAAACAAAGGCAAACTATAAGTCATAAAGCTATTATCTATATGATCACATATCTCAATGAATACAGAATAGTGAAAGTTTATTAGAGTAAGGTTTTGCAGAGTCATAAATGAATTTTTGACATTTTTCATTCTTTCAAATAGAGAATATTATTATTAGTATTGATTCTTTCATTGAATTGTGTTAACAAGAACAAGATTACTGATAAGACTGGGATGAATCTGCATGAATAATCTTTGTCACTCCCACAGACACCCAAAACACTAAGAAACAAGCAAACAAGAAATCCTATTAATTACTGTAACACCTTAGAGTAGGTTGAATGATGATTTTCTAAGAGTATTGTCCTTATTGCTATAAGCTGCGAAGAGGGTCTTAACTGGGACAAAGTGTCTTGCATGTATAATTAAGTTAAGGATCATGAGATAAAAAGATCATCCTGGATTGCTCAGGATGACTGTCAACTCACTGAAAAGCATCCTAATAAGAATCACCCCAAAGAAGAGGAGACAATGTGGTCATCAACATAGAGATTAGAGCCATAGGGAATGGAATACAAAGAATCATCATAAACTGAAAGAAAAAAAACCAGATCATTTGCTACATCCTTTTGAGGGAACAGGACCCTGCTGCTGCCTTGTTATTAGACTTTGGGCTTCCAGAATTGTGAAAGGTATATATGTTTGATCGTTTAAAACAACAGCTTTACCATCATTTGCCAAAACAGGTACAAAACACACATTCTTTGTATCAGTATGAGAATGAGGTGTAGAAGGCTCAATTAACTTACCTAAGGTGCCTCTGCTAGAAAGTGATTAGGGCATGAGACTAAGTCAGGGATTTTCAGAGTTTGCTTTCAACCTTAATAAATAAAACACCATACCTCGTAACTATGTCTACTCCATTAGAGTTAGATAAGAGGCAATCACAAGGTGTTATAGGAGTGCACATAACCCAGTTTATGAATAAATATCAGGGCGGATATTCTAGAGGAGATGATATTGGATTGAGTTTTAATGATGGAGATACAGAGAATAAAGTGAGGAAATGTTTCTGAGCAGAGAGAATAAATATAAGACTGAGAAAGAGCAAGGCATTTTTAAGGAATTACAATAGGAAAGTATGGACAAGGACATTTTTGGAAGGTGAATGGAAAATGAGGCAGAAGTTGAAGGTGAGGACCAGCTGGTCTTACGTCTTACGTGCTAGGCTCCAGATTGTGGAGTCCTCAGGCAGCTCGGAGATTGGATGACTTGGTGCAGTATGATCTTGTGACAAGCTGGGTCTCTTACAGATTTATGAGATGAGATTAAAAACTACAGTGAAATTTTAAATTTAAAAATTATCACTGAAAAAGACATGTTGCCATGAATCCTTTTCAAAATATCCTGCTTCACTTTGAACACACTTATGCCATCTTTTTGCCACTTACTGGAGCAGTTCTGGAGGTTCTTTTCTGTGAGTGTCGTTAGTTGCACTGTCATGGCTGTCATGACATCCTGATCGACTCAAAATGCTTCCCTTTCAAAGTCATTTTGACTTTGAGGGAGAACAAGAAGTCACATCATGCCCAATCAGGTGAATAAGGAGGATGAAGACATAACGTGTTTTTAGGAGCCCACTTTCCTGTCGGAGGGCATTTGACAGTGGAATTCATCCTATTTTTGATTATACTTTATAAGTACACTCATTATAACATTTTAAAAACTTAAACATTCACCATGCATTTTGAGTATATCTCGTATAGCAGAAGGCAGCCTGGAGAGTAGCTAAACTTGTGCTGAGACAGGAGGTAAATTCTCCTTAAGGACTGGTCGGGATGTGCATTGCAACACTGGGCATGAGGAAGGAGAGGAGGAAGAAGACTTAGGAGCTACTCTAAGGAGATAACGGGGTGAGGTCTGATGACTCTGCAAAGGGCAGAGGAAAAGAGGAGCATTGGCTGCTTCCTTACAAGTTCCAGGTTTGGGGAACTGGGTCCATGGCAGTGTCATCTGCTGTCATAGAAAATAAAGGAAGGGCAGTGAGTGGGATGGGTTTGGAAGCTGTGAGTGTAAATAAGGACTTCATTAGTGCTGAGCATCTTGCATGTTTTACTCTGAATATGAAGACACCTACATATGAATCATGACTCGGGATTATAGTCATGGAACAAACTGAAGTTGTGTACCGTGTACTCTAAGAGAGGGAGAAAGAGGAGAAGCCATGCTGAACATCTCCTCACATTTCCCTGGTGAGGCAGCCAATGCTGAGGTGATGAAGGACCTGGGCCAATGTTGCAAGGTCAGGCTCCTGGCACCTCTGGGTTCAGATCCCAGCTCCCTTCCCCTGCCTCCTGGCCATGGAGCCAGCATGCTCTTTGAAACTTGCTTCCCCCATTCATTAGCTGTCTGACCTTTGGAAACTTGCTTAGCCACTCAGCGTTGGAGTTCCAGCAGCTGTCAAAAAGAGGATAAAAACATAGTGCCTGCTCTTTCCACCTCAAATAAGAGCCTGTGAATGAAATCTCTACTGTGGAAAAAATTTAGAAAAATGTGAGTAATTATTTATATAGTGAACCTAGCCCTTTCCCTGGAATTTTATTTTTTTGAGCTAAGCCTTGAGTTCGGCAAGTTTTCTTGGGATGTGCTCATTTCTCCTAATAGTTTGGTAGCATGAGTTTTCTGGTAAACAGAGTTTAAACAACGTGGAATGATTTAAATATTTCCAAATCATTTCATCATCACAACCTGTTTCTAAATGTGCCTCCTTTCTTCTTTCTTTCCAGCCTTCTTCCCTCTCCTTTCCTCTCCTGTTCTTTTAGTCTCTTTCATCTTTGAAGCACCAATGGTTGAATGCTGAGCTCCATCTCTAGCCCTTTTACAATTTTTTAGTTTGAAATAGAGTCTTCCTACATTGTTGAGGCTAGTCTTAAACTTGCAATCTTCCTGCTTCAGCTTTCTGAAGAGCTGGAATTATAACTGTGTGCCACCAAGCCTGGCCCATGGGTACTTCTTTATAGCACTGTAAAAACCTTCTCCATAGTTTTGCTGACCGTGGGAACCCGGACCTTTAACTATTTGTCTCATGCAAGATATTCAGAAAGGGACACATTGTATGCTAAATGTGGTGTTGGAATTAGAAGAAATTCTCAGCATCTCATTTGAGAAAGACGGGTTTAGTTAATCTTTTTTAATTTTTAATTTTTATTAGTACACGTTTGTAGTATAAAATAATTACATTCACGGTGGGGGGAGTTGGCAGACATATACAGTGCATCTCAGGTATTTTTTACCCTTCACCTGCTTTCCTTTCTTTTTTTCTCATTACCAGATTCATTTATTTATCTTATAAGTCCTTATAATATTAATTTTCATGTATACAGATTAACAGCCAGAGTACCAGTCAAAAAGAATAAAACACATAAGACAGTTATACTAAATCAAGGTACTCTTTTAGATACATTGCCTGTGTTAGATTGCAATAATTTTTTTCTTCCTATCATCTGTCTTTTAGTTTTCATTTTAATTGTATACTGAGTTTTTCATATGAGAGAATGTATGCAATATTTTTAGCTTGAGTGTCTTATTTAGTTCATTTAGCATTATGGTCTCAAAGAATTTGTTTTCCTATAAATGACTCAAGTTTATCCTTTAGGTAAAGTAGTACTCTACTGTTGATTTATCTCTCAATGGACATACAGGCCTCTTCCAATGTTTGGTGAGTATAAATTATGTAGCTCTATTGATGGGTGTGATAGGTTTAGTTCATCTTAATGTGCCAGTAACTGGGTGGGGACTATGTCATGCCATCCTGCAAACTCTGAGACCTAGCACAGTCCTGTGTCTTCAGTGCTAAAAAATGTGTTTGGTGTTTCCTCAACACGGATTCTTTGTTCTATAATAACAGGACTCTACTGGTTGAGTTCTAAAGTCTATCCAGTTCTAAAGCTAATTCTTTTCCTTGAAAAGCAGTGGTAAAGAAAGGAGCATAAAAATAACTACAGATATAAGCCAGTAGCTCTTGTCAAGGGCACAGGTTAAGGTGTGCCCGACGTAGAATGGCGTCCTGTTGGATCCTGTCCTTGAACAGGGATGTGAAGTAGTAACAGAGAAGAAAGGGTGAGAGGGCCATTGTGTAATGAACCGGACTAAGCTCTTTTCTCACGGAGGGTATCTTGTCTTTATTACTCAACTCTGCTGAAGCCTGTACACGGGTGATGACAGTGGGGGAGTAGAGTGGGAGGCAGGCTGGCTTGGGAACCGGGCTTTTTTTCTGGTCTTATGCTCTTAAGACCAGTTGGCTGGCAGTGGATTTTAATTATACACACCTACTCAAAGGCTTCTGTAACAACTGCAGTGTGTGAGCAAGGAAGGAGGTAAGGAAGACGGAAAAATAAAGTGCATTCATTCTGAAAACAAACAAACCTTATTCCCAGTGACTCAGCAGCGATAATCTCAATCTTTCAGATAACTGTTAGCATTTTTTGGACCATCTGTACATACTGATCACTGAGGTCTGGGCGACAGAGTCCTGCCATTGGCTGGTTTGTTTGTTCCCTCTGGCGGCTAGGATAAGGCAGTGGCCAGAGTTCCTGAGTCACAATTGTTCTGCATAAAGCTGCTGGGTTTCAGTTTCAGCAGGGAGATCCAGTGAGTGCTGGACAGATAATGACAACAGACACCCATTGGGACTTTCTTACCTCCACTAACGAGAGGGCGGGACTGCTGGTTATTTCTGTGCTTCCTATCGCATGCTTCCCACTCACTGTCCCCACTCAGAAACGCATCCTACTCTTTGTCAGTGGGGGATCAGCTCCCATCTGGTCTTCCATAGTGGCACCTGCCATAGTGGGTCTGATTTTTTGGGTACAGCGCAGTACCTGACAGATTGCCAGTCCACCAGAGCCCATTGAATCTCCTCCCTCATCACTTTTCTGGGCCATTTGCTTCCTTTCAGGTATCTCTTGTCTCATTTATTTTCTCCTTTCCAATGACCACTTTAGTTCAGATATTTATCTCTTCCCACTTGGATGACTGAAGATTTTCTTAACTTTCTGCCACAGGTCTAGTTGCCACAGGTCTAGTTTATCTCACATTCCTTCAGAGAAACCTTCCCCAAAGGCAGCAGCCTCTGACCATGCCCTTTAGTGAGGTAGAAAGAACAAGCAGAGCTGGGTGACAGTAAAACTTACTATGTGCTATAGGTTCCTGTCCAAAAAGTCAACATGATGTTTTAGACCCTGTTCCAAAGATCTGACGTGAAACACTTTGGCAAAGTCAGAGTCAACTGACTTTGATGTTTCGGTAGACATACTGATGACATGATAGCTGGAAGGGGCCAGAGCTGAACTGAGGTGGTGAACTGAGGTTGGGAGATGCAACAGCCAGGATGAATGAAGCAAAAGGAGCCCCAAATCTTAAACATTCAATGGAAGAAAATAAGGGTTCCATACTAATGTTATTGTTGAGCTGGTTCAAGTTGTTTATAGAGAAAGAAGTGTAATGCTGCCTGCTGGTACTATCGTTGCCTTTATCACGCCTGGGCATCCCAGTAGATCTGGTGGTTTATTTATTCAGTCGGCACATATTTATTGAGTACCTTCAGCAGGGTAGGTTCTGGGTATCAGAACTATACATGGAGCCTTGGGAGTGATTACGAGTGGGCATGGACAAAAGGAGAGAGAGAGATACAGACAGACAGAGACAGGGACAGAGAAAATGACAATGTTTTTAGGCTTCATTTTTCTCAGTGCTTCTGCTTGTTAGGTGTTCAAAGTAGGATTACTGAACTGAAAACCAATTCATGCCACTAAAGGGTGTTTCTCACCTCCCAGGACCCAGGAAAGGAATAATTAGCATACTTAGTGAACAAACAATATTCTCATAGTCAAAAATAAGACCTAAATTTGCTCTGTTTTGATTATTAACTAGGATCTCCAAATCCCTTGTGTGTTCTTTTTCTTTCTCCTTCTTATTTCCCTATTTTTCTTTCAGCAAAATTCTCATTAACACATTTTAATGACTATAAATGAAGGTTCTATGTCTCAGGAAACAGCAGCCAAGCAGCATGGAGAGAGAGAAAGAGATTAGGAACAGATGAGAATATCAATATAGATATGTATAAAGTCTCCCTGGAGCATCTTCAAGTCTTTGCCCTTTATTTGGCTGCTCTTTGGTCTTGTCTAGTATGTCACTGTGATATACATCATGTCTTAAACTTGGGAAACATAAAAAGTCCTGAGAGCCATTTTCCTGGCATCCATAGTGAGATCCTGGGCTAAGACTGACTTTGGGTTAGAATCTCTTCCACAGTTCCAGGGCTCTAGCCAGCATGCAGGTCTGATCAAGCCCTGCTCCAGGAATACTGGGAGAAAACATTCCGTCATATTTCCTGCTCACATTCCAGAGCTCATGCCATCAGGGCCTGCCAATGGCACACATGGGCATGATACATCTGAGCCGGTGGTCACCTGGTTCCATTTGTCAAAATCCTCACAAGTTTTTCTTTCAGGGACAATGAACGTCTTTGCTCCTGAACCCCAGTGACCAAAAGGTAAAGTGAAACAGGAAAGAAAAATGAAATAAAATAAAAGAAAAAGAATAGAAATGCAACAAAATAATAATGTGTGAAAGTTGAGCAGAGAAGAGCCAATGGTGAGGAACTGTGGCTTCGTCATTGGCTAAATCAGCTGAGGGTGTGTGACATGGAGGGTGTGAGTCACAGGACTTACGGATTTGGCATTCTTGGTTGAAATAAATGTCCTGGGCCTTGGGCGGCAGCAGCAGCAGCAGTGACAGAAGGCACACTGGTGGGGCAAGAGAAGTGGACATTTGGCTGTCTTTGGTGACCTGAATTTATAGCACCATGATTTAGACAAAACAAGAGAAAAAGCTGGGTAAATTTCAGAGCACCAGCAGAACACCCTCCTACGATCCGGTAGGGCTCTACTGGGGCCTTGCATCTTATCCTCTTCCTCGCAGGCTGGCATGTCCTGGAGAGCAGGTTTTTTTTTTTTTTCTTTCTGGTCTTTCCTGACATTCGTGTGAACTTTCTCTTCCAGACATGTGGTGAGCAAGAGCATCTGGGCAGCACTGCGGAATATGTGTGCAATGAATGAATCACAGAAGCCACACTTGTCTACATGTAGCTGAGTCTATAAAGAAGTGAAGAATCTCTTAAAGACCACAGCTTCCCCTCTATTTTTACAAAACTGTAATTGAAGAGGGGAATGGGAAAAAAAGAATGAAGATATACTATGCACAGGTACAAATTCTCTATGATGAATGTGATCATTGTGTATGTAAAAAATGTACCAAAGAAATTTTAAAAAATAAAGCCTACAACTCCAAATAAACTAAGAGTCAGAGAGGTGAGTAATACTGAAGGCAGAGTCATCGTGCATAAAATAACACAACCAGGAGCTCTGAGGAGTGTTGACAACACAGTGCATGAGGAGCAGGATCAGGGGTTCACGGAAGAGGGAGGGTGCTGGACTCAAGATAGCCTCAAAGATGATTCTCAGAAGGTTTAAGAAATCAGAGCAATGCTGCACCAAAACAATTAATGGCAATTCTTGTCTCCATTGAAACAAGAATTTATTAGCTCTGGTTCTGGACTATTCTCATATAGACCTAGGATTACTTTTGCATATGAGTGGAGTCAGAAAAAATAAAGTCTAGGAATTAAAGCAGCCATGGTTTGGGAACAATTCCTGGAGTCCAGAAATTGCATATGCAGATTCTCCTGGGTGACTGGAATCTTTGCCACAGGTTAACTTCAGCCAAATAGAAATTGTATAGAAAAATGATGAAACAACATGGGTACAAGAGGAACAGACCAATGTGTAGCAGGTATCAGAAACAACTACAACACAAGAGGATGTATATGTATCTGTGTGTGTGTGTGTGTGTATTTTTTTGGTATGGGTAGGATAAAGAAGGGATTCAGCATAATGATGATATGACACGTGGCATATAAAGTTAACAGATGTTTTTGAGTTGGTACATAACAGCCACAGCTCTGAGCTTTTAGCTTGCAAACCTAAAGAAAGAAACAGTAGACTAGAAGCTAGTGCTGGAAAAGTTATCTTTAGATAAACAAACAGAGGGAAAACACAAACGGTGCAGGTGCTGCATCTGTTTCTAGAGCAGTGTCTTAGGCACAATTTACACAGTCCACTAGGCCTCAGCTTCCTCAGCTACGAGCTAGAAACATAGAGGGTGAGATTTGGTAAATTGTGGTGTGGGACTCTTTCCTGAGTTTAGTTTTTGTCAACACTAAACGAGTAAGATGAAAGAAAAAGAAAGAGCAGAGGGAAAGAAAGAGAAGGAAAAAGATTGACTTGATTTAGTCTCAGTATTTCTACACACATTACATTCTGGGAAATTTTTCTTGGCTTTTAAAAATCACATTATTTTATAGATTTGTAAAGTGAATGTACATTTACACAATTATAATCCCAAGCTTAAAAACAATATTATATCTCTCTAAAAATCATGGAAAATTCTGAGAATCGTGATTAGAAAAGAGCAAACCACAGAAATATCACAGAGCCAGTACTTTTGGCCAATTGGGTCACATCATTTCTACCTATAGTGTATCACAGCCAATCCAGTTATTATTTGAAGCTAATTTAATTAATAATTATTTAAAATCCTTTTCATTAGAACAACTTTATTGTTTAGATACCCCTAGGGTTCAGAATCTCAGAAAAATCACCCCATACTTAGTGCTCACTGAATGAGATTATTCTGACCCTTGCGGAGATAATGGAAATCTAATTAGTGCGTATAGTAGGCACTTATTGTGTTGTTTTGAAAACAACAAAACAAACTTCTAACTTAAGTAAGCAGACAATGGGTTAAACAGAAGATTGTGGGAAGGCTCACAGAATCCATGGGAAGGTTGGAGAAATAGTCCTGGAAAATGAGCAAGGACCAAGGGAAGGAAAGCCTGAGCACCATCTCGCCAGGCAGCCAGCGATTAGAGAACCCACACCAGCACCTCTGGCACCAACCACCACAACAGTGGCTTTCTGAATCTCCTTCTCTGACAAATAATCTCCACTGTTCTTTGACTCTACATCACTCTTTCAAGGTTCACAATACTGCAGAGGATGTAAAACTGTGCGTTCCTACCTGGTCACATGTAAATCATACGCAGCTGCCCTTGGTGCCAAGGGGTGGAAAGAGTATCTGATCTTCCTGGGCTTCTGCTAGGGCAGGATATTGATACAGAGGCAGGAAAGCTACTGAACAATTCCCTTATCAGTATAGCGACTATAGTTAATACCAATGCATAGAACTTCTCAAAAGTGCTGAGAGACCACAGTGTAAGTCCACGAGATAACCACCCTGTGACTTAATGTGTATCCTAAGGAGCTTGAGTTAGCGATTCCACAAGGCACATATTTTAAAACATCTAGTTAACATATGTGATTTTATACACACAATTTTATCTCTCAATTAAAAAATTGTAAAATTAGAAAAGCCAAACTTGTTTGAAATATATAGAAAGTTCATGTTCTCAGAGAACTCCAAATCCTTGAGTCATTTTTATTAATATTTTGATACACACATATATTCTTATAATGTGACTTCCTATAGAAAAATACATATGGACAGCATATATTTCAACAATGCATGGTCTTCATCTAACAGTATATATAAATAACTATTCATGCAGTGACCTCTGTTCTTTTTGGGTGTATCTGTCACTTCCTGACATTTCGAGGTCCCATCTCTGTCTTTAGGCTCTGAACTCCTTGACAAACAGGACCATCTGTCACTGCTTTGTCTTTAGTACTGAACCACTGCCCTGCCCAAGGTGGGTCACAGTATGGGGTCAGGAGGGCTATGTTGCTTTCAAAAGGAAAATGAAAAAGTCCAATGGATATGGCTGTGATGTACAGTAATACCTTGCTGTAATTAGCAGCAAAAATGCCTCATTTCCCGGTCTCACCTCAGAGGAGAGGATACTGACAGTCTTAGTACCCTTTCTAGATGTTGCAATCGGTGCTCTTCCATAGCACCTCTGCCTGATTCATTCTGCACTGACATTCAGGGACAGTGCTTTTCCTTTTCCTCTGATTCAAGCAATGGCAAAAACTCATCCCTACTGCACTGAGATGCATTGCTGCTGGCCGTTGGAATTTAATTTCAGAAAGCCAACACCAAAGATGCATTTTTGTTTTGTCATAGTTCCTAAAGCATTTTCTCAAAAGCAGACTCAGCTGCAGTTGGTGCTGATGACACTGAAATGATTTAACCTCTGGGAGTAAATTAATAAGCGTTTTCTAGGTACCTGTGGGGTGCAGAGAAGATGACAACAAAAAGCCATTCCAAAAAGAGCATGATGTGGCTCTTACCCTCTCATAGATCAAACCTTTCTGTACAAGATACAAATAGGTTACTAAAACAACCTATTTAGTTAAACAACATGAGCGTTATGTGAATCTCCATGTTTGGAGAATCTTGAAGTTGTAATAATTTTGATCACCTTGCACACACACAGCTGACTTAAGGAGCTTTGAATATTCTTCAGTGACATTTTTCATTGTGAAAAGTTGATCTATCCATAATTTACACACCTCTATCTATCTATCTATCTATCTATCTATCTATCTATCTATCACCTTTCAGTTACCTAACATCTATCTTCTATCCATCATCTATCTATCTATCTATTTATCTATCATCTATCTCATAGTCCAGAGTAGAGGTGGTAATTTCTCTTGGAGGAAGAAATGGAGTAAGAGGAACAGTTGGCTTCAGGGTTAGTTGTCATTTGAAAGTAGTTGCAGTTTCATTACTAGAATTTACTGGGGAGAGCCTGGGAAGCATGAAAGAGGAAGCCATGAGCAGAAGCAAAGATGGGTGCAGTGTGGGTAGTTTAAGGGGAAAGCCAAGAAGCCTACTGTTATTGGAGTAGGGAGTCAGGGGTTGTACAGAGAACAATTAGATTCAGGATGCAAAATTTATGCTATCATTTTATGGTCACCCAGAATTAAACACAAGAAAGTGCAGGAAATCTATCCACAACACTAATGACCCAGAATACTCAGCCAAGGGCCTGGATCTCACAGCAATGTCCCATGTGAGTCCAGATGAAAACCTAGAGCCCATAACAATGCCTCCCATGAGTCCAGCTGGAGGTGTAGAGCCACAAGAAGGACTCACACCAGTCTGTTTTATGGACTTGTGCTGGGAAGGCCCAAAGGTCAACAGTAGAAGCTAGAAAGTTTATGCCAGTGGGGTGAGGGGGCTGTGCTGGCAGGTTGAGGATTCTACATTGGAGCCGAGAAGTCACGTTCATAATAAAGACCAGGGATGTCCTAAAAAGCACCATAGCCATTCTCAGTGACACAGATGTCCCAAGCTCCTCCAACAATAAGTACATTCAAGTACATGCTAGAAATCCAGCATGATGAGTTTGTCCTGGAGATTAAATGGCACACATCTTCCTCTCCAGAGCCACGAAACAACGCTCGATGTAAGGATGAGAGCTTCTCCAGGAGAACCATCGGCTCAAACAGCAACACTTAGAGAAACCCACGCCTATCTTGTCTTCTCCATGCCTCTATTTATGCTGGCAACTTTCCTCAGGTGGAACATCTATGCTCAGCACCATGCTGATTTAATTCAGCTGGTGTTAAGTTGACCACCAGTCTCTAATTCATAACAGACATGGACTTTAGGTTAAATAGCTTGCTCCAAAAATATGCTTCATTAGAGGAGGAAAAGAAATAAATGGTCATCCCTCCAATGCATTTGTCTCCTTCTGTGGTACTGGGGATTGAGGCCAGCGCCTTACACATACTAGGTAAGCACAGTACCAATGAGCTGCATCCTAAAACTCCATTCCATTTTTATTGAAAACCTCCCCTACCCAGGATAGAAATGCAATGCCTCGATATACATCTGCACTGTTTCCCATGCATTAAATAATATTACACTCGCGGCATTCTCCAATGATAACTAAGAGCTGGCATTTCATTTCATGCAACCTAGAAGTGGTGCCGCTTTCAATCACCACTCTGTACAGCTGTATGCAGAGGTATTTGTCCTGAGCTACAGATGTAGAATCCCCCCTGCCCTAGAGAGCTTAAAACCAAGCAAAAATGAAGCATTTATTTCTGATTATAGCGAGTTCCACAAGAGTGTAAGGCAGGGCATTGGGACAGGACCTAAAGTGGGAAGGGGAGGTAAGAGCCAGCACAGTTTAATTCAAGTAGCTGACAGTTGTTCTGTGACCTTAGGGACGAGTAGGAGTTATACAGGGGAGGAAGACAGAGGCTTCAAGGGGAGCCCCATTCCTAGTGCAGAGAGTATCCAAAGCATAGGTCTTAGGGCAACA